TCCTCACCGTCATCGACGCGTGCTCGAAAAAGGCGTGGGCCGAACCGCTTAAATCGAAAACGGCGACGGATGTCACTTATGCTCTGCAACGCGTTCTCAAAGCAGCTGGAAAGTCACCGAAACATTTACAAGTCGATATGGGCTCGGTATTCTACAACTCCAAATGGCAAGCATTGATGAAGCGTCACAAGATCAATATGTACAGCTCGTGCTCGACAACCAAAGCCTCTATTGTGGAGTGATTCAACCGAACGCTCAAAACTAAGATGTGGAAAGAGTTTTAGCGCGCAAGGATCGTACAAGTGGGTAGATCTATTACCGAAACTCATCCGTGAATAGAACGGGAGCGTTCATCGCACCATCGGTATGAAACCAATCGATATCACTGAAAATGATGTACCGATGATCTTGCAAAAGTTTCGTGGACCGCCGCTGAGTAAAATTGAAAAGAGACCTTTGGCCAGACGAGAACTGAATGTCGGTGATCACGTCCGGATCTCGAGACTCAAAGCCATGTTCGAGAAAGGATACACACCGAATTAGAGCACGGAAATTTTCAAGATTGTCAGCGTCAATCCGACCGTTCCGATCACGTGCGATCTGAAAGACGTGCACGATACGATCATCAAAGGAAAAGTCTACCGCGAAGAACTCCAACCCACCAACTATAAGGATACGTTCCTGGTGGAGAAAATTCTGCGTCGCAAGAAAAACCAGGCCTTTGTCAAATGGTTGGGTCTGGACGCGAGTCACAACAGTTGGATCGATAGAAAGGATTTCGTATAAATAGTATGCATTCATTTTTGGTCCACAAATGTGTTAGAGCCCACTTACAAAAACCACTCATAAGACACCGATAAAACGCGGCAAACGCGAACTGTTTTAAACTGTGACAGTAAATATCCACCAAAAAAAAAAAAAAAAAAAAAAAAAAAAAAAATTGATTCATCAAACTGAGCATTGCAATGTCCAATCCCAGTTGCTCATCGCAAAACATAAGGTTCCCATACGCATCTCCAAGCGTACACTACTAAAAAAAAATGGAAATTTCCGAATCAAACCCTAATCTCCAGTATCCGATACCAGGCCCATACTGTAAAATACGGTCTTTTGAAACCGAAAATTTTATAAGTCCGAAATCTCGAAAACAAAAACTTGCATCAAAGTTCGGTCCGTACAGTTTTCCAATCTGCGATAATGGAAAAGAATCGCATCGGTCCGCGGCGGATGGGAGGACGGTAATTTTCCGAAAAATTTTTCAATTTCCCAAATCAGACCCTACTCTCCAGTATCCGATATCAGGCCCATACTGTAGGAGACGGTCTTTCGAAACCGAAAATTTGTACAAGTCCGAAAATCCGAATTTTTTGCACAATCTGAGAACATTGTATTGAAAAATCAACTAATTTCTTGCACCATCTGGCAACACTGTAAAAATCAATGTTGCAAAATTTCACCAATAATTAAATAATTCATTTAAGTGCACCGTCCGGCAACGCTGTAACCGCCATCTTGAAGAATACACCGTTGCATAAACTGCATATTGATGGGGCTACATTACACCATAGCATAACCCGCATATTGAAGGGGCAACATGCAATACTTTTTTACAGCGTTGCCATATTGAACAATAATCACCATACAACACTGTAATTTAATTCGTATTTTTCTGCACAATTTCGCTAAAAACGTTTGTTCTCAAATACCTGTTTTTATCCTACTATCACAAACGTTGAAAAAGTTATGACGCTTGGCGAGAAAAAGTATGTGTTACACGACAAAGGGGCTCTACCCCATATGTGTGGATTACCGAAGATCCACAAAATAGGTGATGAAATAAGGCCAATTATAAGTTACATAAAATCTCCTGTGTACAAATTAGCAAAATGGTTGATAATTCGATTGAAGTTGTACGAGCTCTTTGAATCTCGAAACGTTAACAACTCCCTGGATTTCATCGAAAAAGTGGAGAACATAAGATTACGAGAGGATGACATTTTGGTGTCATTCGACGTTAAGTCGTAGTTCCCGAACGTATGAGTCAGCAAAGGAGTATCTCAACTTGATAAAAGTATGCGCGGACCAAACAGGATTTGTTTTTAATCAGACGTTTTACCAACAAAGACTAGGCCTCGCCATGGGTAACCCCATCTCTCCATTTCTAGCGGAAATCTTTATGAGCTTTTTTGAATGTAGCTTGCTAAAAGAACATGCACACGTGTTTAAGGTTTGGTTCCGGTATGTCGATGATGTTTTCTGTATCTTAAAAAAGAGTGACGTGACGAAAGCCTTGACAATCTCGGACAGTCGAGAAGATTCCATCAAGTTTACAATTGAACAGGAAAAAGATGGGAAACTCCCGTTCCTAGATTTATTAATACAAAGAGCAGGAGAGACGCTAGAGTTTGATATTTATAGAAAACCCACGAGTACAACAAATTACATTAAAAGATCTAGCTTTGATCCATGGTCTCACAAATTAGCAGCTTTCAGGAGTATGATTTTTAGACTATTGAATGTTTTCCTCAGCACGGCAAAATTCAAGTTGGAGCTGCAAAACATTGTGGAATCGGGAGTTAAAAATGGTTTTAAGTCAGAAACAATACTTAACATTTTCTCAAAAATGAGACGGAAGATAAAGAATGCAACGAATCTTCAAAAAATCAAAAATATATCCGTTTTTAGGAAGTTTAATTTTCACCCTGTTGTTCACCATAAATTTGAGCGGATTTTCAAAAATATGATATCACTTTGGCTTTTAATGACAAATTTCATGTGGGAAAATGTTTTAGTAAAAACATAGACAATTTGGACACAGACGACTGCGAGAAATCCGGCATTTAAAAAATAGACTGTAAGAATTGCGACAAGGTCTACGTCGGTCAAACGATTAGATCGCTGAAAATTAGGGGCAAAGAACATGCAGATTGCATCAAGAAAAGAGAGATTGAAAGGTCGGCGGTGGTAGCACATGTATGGAAAGAAAACCATGAAGTAAACACGAATCCTTCGCTCCTTAAAGGAATTAATAAAAAGCAAGATCTAACAACTTGGGAAAATATCTTTATCTTTAAGCACCCTAAAAATGTCAACCAAGATCTGAGCGGTATCAACAATCCCCTGTTCAGGACTCTCAATAGGCGAGGTGCGAAGGAAAATTATAGCGACCGCCGCGCCGCGGGCCAGGGAACCAGTCACGCTGAGGATGCCGGAGTTGCGAGCCGGCCAAACGCGTCCGCATTTTAACTAATTTTTACGTGCAAGTGAGTTTTAGAATTTTATTTGATCAATTACCTTGTGCGGGTCTCCAAAAGAATCTTGACAAAATGTTGTTCTTTTTCCACTGCTGTCTTTCCCGTATTTTATCCCATTAGCTGAAATCCACCCATATTTTTCACGCATGTTTGGCGTCTTTTTCATCGCAATACGTAGCAGATTAAAAAATAAGCTCTTCTTTAAAAGTTTTGTTACATTTAATGCCAAATTTGAGCGCGCCATTGCCAAGGTTGGGAGGGTTGCGGTTCCCGATGTGAGCTCAAATTCAGGTCATGTAACGTCATAAATGAATCCTCAAATGATGGGCTCGGGAAAGAAGGCGCATAGGTGCGATTTTTGCTAATTAGAGAAAAAACTGTGTAATAAAACCTTTTGATTATATGACCCCTATGGCGGGAAGAAAGTTCATACTCACATATTGATGCTTAAAAGTTGATTTTTAACGGTGAAATTCACACGGTTTTTATTTTAAACCTACATATACATAGGCTGTCCAAAAAGTACCAAGACTGGTTCTATAACTCCAAAACTAAGATAGCTAGAGGCTTGATCTTGGTTTTATTTGAAAGATTATCTCAATATCTATCGATTGAGACCAAAATCAAACCTTTCGGTCAAATATTTCAAAAGTTATAACACTGTTTGTAAAAAAAATATCTGGACCCCCTACCGTTTTTTAATGACTTTTTTCTCTTGCCGGGAACACTTTCCAAATTATTAATGATCAGTACACGGTTGTTTTGCAACTAATCATGGCAAAACCTAATTGATTTGGAAACACTGTGAAGCCGTCGTCGTCCGACTACGGGTATAAGGCGGGTTCAAAATCCACGGGGAAAGAATGAACCGTCGGTTAGCCACCCCCAAAAAACCTGGGAAATTTTCGGCAGTTGATGACAGTTCACAGTGCGTGCGTGGTCTACGCTGCAGATTGTGAGTGATTTTGTTTCTGCGTTCGAAATTGTTGATAACATCATGGAAAGAGATAAAGCAGTGGTATCAAAAATTTCGAACATAGAAATAAAATCACTCACTATCTGCAGCGTAAACTACGCACGCACTGTGAACTGTCATCAACTGCCGAAAATTTCTCGGGTTTTTTGGGGGTGGCTAACCGACGGTTCATTCTTTCCCCGTGGATTTTGAACCCTTATACCCGTAGTCGGACGACGACGGCTTCACAGTGTTTCCAAATCAATTAGGTTTTGCCATGATTAGTTGCAAAACAACCGTGTACTGATCGTTAATAATTTGGAGAGTGTTTCCGGCAAGAGAAAATAGTCATTAAAAAACGGTAGGGGGTCCAGATATTTTTTTTACAAGCAGTGTTGTAACTTTTGAAATATTTGACCGAAAGTTTTGATTTTGGTCTCAATCCATAGATATTGAGTTAATCGTTCAAATGAGACCAAGATCAAGCCTCTAGCTATCTTGGTTTTGGAGTTATAGAACCAGTCTCGGTACTTTTTGGACAGCCTATGTAGTTGAAATCACTAATATGTCGATTTTTTCGAAAATTGCACTTACGCGCCTTGTTCTCTAAGCCCCTCAAATATTTTTGATCTTGCAAATCTGAACAAAATTTTGGTCCGGATGTTATACTTACAAAGTCGCAAAGCAAGAAACCTCACCTTTCATCAGGCCACCGTATAACTGACACAGGAAAGGTGTTCGGAGTAAATATCAACACAAATTCCAAGAGGTATTAATTAAAGGCAACTTACCGGGCTAAGAGGAACGAATGTGTGGGTGGGATTCATCGGTACCGCTGGGGTAGAGCTGGGATACTCTCCTTGGGACTTCTCCCTTCTGGGATCCCTTTGATGTTTCGGGCTTGTAGCGTTCTCATCCACCTGACCTGAAAATTTTCAAATTTTACTTTGAGAGTTTGCGCGCAACCTAAATTTACAGCTGAATCTTCGTAAAAAAAGGACGATATTACGAGAAATATGTTAAAGAGTCAATGATAGAGAAAATATGACTGTACGAGGGGAGCAGAAACCTAAGATCTTGACTTTGCCTCATTTAATCAATGGAGGCCAAGTGATTTGATGACCACAAAGATTCATTAAAAGACAAAAAAGAGGCTGGTCATCGACAGTATTACTCTGAGTCTTCTTCTCTTTATCATAACTTAGGAAAGAGAGGACGAAGGGAACTGATGTATCAGTCTACCTCTCCGAAAAAAATTCCTCATACATTGACGCGAACTGGCAACCAAGAGAAATGTGAAGGTACGTATTATGCACAGCCTAATATCTAATGCATATTATCAATATCTGATCAATTCAATTTCTTTGAAATTTTTCGAAATAATTTAAAACACAAGAGTTAAATGAAAAATCGTATGAATTTGAGTTTCCCAGATCACGTGTGCAAGAACACTCTCAGTTTGATCATAGAGCAAGCTCATGAAAAAAAAGATAGTACAAACATGATCACAATCTTTGTTTCTTGGGGAGTGGGGGGAGGGGGGCCTCAAAATCCTAATCTTTTATACAGGGTGTCAGAGAAGTCTCCTCCCCCCTCTAACTTTTGACCTAATTGAGGTAGAGATTTGAAACTTGGAGAATGTTCCTAGGTCAAATGAAGCTACTTTTTGACTCCCCTAAATTTTGGAGGGTTCCCTTTGGGGGGGGGGGGTAACGAACCCCAACTTGTTTTTCAAATGGGAGGACCCCTTTTGTGGCACCTCGTTCGAAAGAGCATAAAATATTCATTTATTTGCGCGATTTTCTGCGCAAACCGGGCCGTTTCAAAATGTTAAAGTTCCAGATGGCCAAACATTCACACCTAGGTTTTTTGCGAATGTATTTGCCTGAAACTCGGTATTTGGGGGTTGTTCAATACAAGAAAAACAAATTTAACGTTAGATCTTCAAGAAAACTAAAATTGTCAAAATAGTGGCTGATTGAAGATCAAAATGACTCAATTTTTTTTTTAATCTAATTTCGAATTTGTTAATCTCACGCCAAAATACCCCTAGGTTCTAGATTTCAGGCAAATCCATAGTCAATTTTCGGCGATTTTGAACTTCATAAAACCGCCGTTTTGGCTATTATGGTTTTTTTGAAAATTTATTATCGAATTCGTTTATCTGGTGTTAAAGTACCCCCCCCCTCCCAATACGGAGTTTCAGGCAAATCCATCGACAAACAAGCGGTGCCTTTTTTCGGCCATCTTGAACTTTAACCGGCCGCCATTTTGAAACAGTTTGAAAGATTGACTTCGGGTTTGCGCGAAAATTTTTTTTTTATGCTCTTTCGAACAATGTACCACAAAGGGGGTCTCCCCATTTGAAAAAAAAGTCGGGGTTCGTTACCCCCCTCCCCCAAGCAGGGTCCCCTCGAAAATTTTAGAGGAGTCAATAAGTAGCTCCCTTTGACTTAGGAGCATCCTCCAAGTTTCAAATCTCTACCTCAATTAGGTCAACAGTTAGAAGCGGAGGGGACTCTTTGGACACCCTATTTAAGCCTGGCCTGATGTTGGAATTGAATAAGGAAAAGGAGCAAAATAGGAAGCCGTGACCGGGGGTTCCTGTGACATCACTGTTTGTTTCCAACCTCCGCGATAGATTTCAATGCCAGAGTTTATTGATTTCAGAATAAATGAACCAATCACTGGGCCTTCCCCACCAACAAAAAAATTACCTCGAGAGCCTTTACTACGCTCATCCTTTAAACAAACTTATTGCTCCATTCTTATGTAATATTTGACTTAATTAAACCCTTTTCCTTGAACGAATAAAGATAAATCGTTGCGAGTATAATCTGTTTCCAAGATTTCTACAAACTCTTATTCTCAAACTTGCATGAATGTAGAGGTCCTTTACGAATAAAACATTAAATATTTTATAAATTCATGCGTAAGTTTAATTTTAATCAAGTAAATAACTTTATTGTAGATCTGAGTTCACCCTCCAACATTTCTTATTTTTGACATTTTGGGTCTTTATTAGGGGTTATAATTAAAGGACCCTGCAGACTCCTTATGAGAATGTGCACCACGATCGATTTTTGATATTTTACTGCATTCAATTCATCTCAAGATGCTGATAAAAAGTGTTCATTGCGCGACGTACCATTTTCGCACAATACGCCCGGAACGCCTCAAGTATTCGGCGATAAAGAGTCAAAAAGAACAAAGCATTCGAAAATAGGTCTGATGTGAATAAGGAAAAATGTAGCAAGTGTCTGTCGTCTTATACAGGGTGTCCCAAAAGTCCGTGCCCCTCCTTGTAACTTTTGAACGGTTAGAGATAGAGAAACGAAACTTTGGGAATGTTTCTATCGTGAAGAGAACCATCTTATAGAGGGGTCAAAATGTTTGTTCCTCCGTTGGGAGGGGGGGGGGTAGAGGCCCCCCCAACTCTTTTTTTTAAGATGGTAACCCCTTTCTTGTGATACATCATTAGAAAGAACATAAAAACTAAGAATTTTGGCGCAAACCGCAGAGGAATATCTTCATTTTTGGCCGAGTTATGATAGGTCAAAGGTCAAATTTGACTTATTTTCATAAAAGCATAACTCCGATTCGAATTATCGCAAAGAAAGAAATAAAACGGGGAAACTCACCAAATAAGCAATTTTAAGTAAAAATCACAGAAATCACTTCAAACTAATTTTAAGGGAGTTCGGACCCCCAAATACGTCAGTTTAAAGGTCATACTATTTTGGTCATAAGGTGATTCAATTCAACCGTTGAATTTTTTTTTTTTTTTAAGTTTGCTCAAAATTTGGGGACTTGAAAACGCAATGCTCAACTTATTTTGAACTTACCGATATAATATTGAGACAAATTTAAGGGAAATTAGCTCAAATCGCGGGATAATCGTGTGACCTTTAAGCTGGCCTATTTGGGGGTCCGAAACCCCCCTTAAAATTAGTTGGAAGTAATTTCTGTGATTTCACTGAAAAGTGCTTACAATTTGGATAGTTTCCCCGTTTAATTTTTTCTTTGCAATACTTTGAACCGGAGTTATGAAAATAAGTCAAATTTGACCTTTGACCTATCATAACTCGGTCAAAAATTAAGATATTCCTCTACGATTTGCGCCAAAATTCTTAGTTTTTATGTTCTTTCTAATGATGTATCACAAGATAGAGATTACCATTTTAAAAAAAAGAGTTGGGGGGCCTCTGCCCCCCCCCCTCCCAACGGAGGAACAAACATTTTGACCCCTCTATAAGATGGTTCTCTTTACGACAGAAACATTCCCAAAGTTAGGGGTTTACCATTTTAAAAAAAAGTCCCCCCTCCAGCCGCCCTTGAGGGAGGAACAAAAATTTTGACCCCTGAAAAGATGGTTTCCTTTAAGATAGAACATTCCCAAAGTTTCGTTTTTCTACCTCTAACCGTTCAAAAGTTACGAGGAGGGGTAGTGACCTTGGGGACACCCTGTATCTTCTTGCCTACTCTGGAGCTATCTCCTTCCCGCTCTCGTCCGTTTAATGTTCACTTTTTTTCTCCGACTTTCCTGTTCTTATGCTCCTCACTAATCTGATTTGGATTGACAAGCAAAAAGGCGTGCAGAATCCGAGATAAGAATAAGGCTGCCGCTCGGTGCTGGAGTTCCCCTGAGTTCCTTGTTGACACTGACACACAGCCGACCGTTCACTCGAGTGCTGAAATGAGGAATATTTCTGACTCTTAATCGCCGAATAATTTAAGCATTCAGGGCGTATTTTGCAAAAACGGTGCCTAGTCCTAAACCTAAGTCCTAACCTAGTCCTAAACCTAACTCGAGGTAGAAAATTGGCGCAATGATGACTTTTGATCAGCATCTTGAGATGAATTGAATGCAATAAAAAAATTAATAAAAACCGATTGTGGTGCACTTTTCCATAAGGAGTGTGCGGAGTCTTTTCTTCACCTCTATTTGTTGAGCATCAGAAGATAAATACAATTCCCTCTTAAAATTGATACAACACCAAATCAAACAAAGATTTACTTTTAAATGAAAATACAATATTTTTCGAAGGGTAATTTTTCCGATCAAGTTCGTGCAATACCACGAGTTTGTCATCCTTCAAATAGGAAAAGTAATACGGGAAACGTATACCTATGCGTTTTACTAGTTTAGGATGAGTAAGCATTCGTTCTACGAGTTTTTAATTCTTTATCTACAGGATTTTTACCTATTCCAAACAAATTGAGTGTACCTACCTCAACATACTAAAATACAGGACTTATTGGCTACTAAACTTTTTCTACCTACTCACAGAAATGACGTAGAATTAAAAAAAAAATCTAGTGTATTCTGGTGCAAAAGTCTGGTAAATTCTAATATTAGGTGAACAAACGGTGAATATTTTAATTTAAAGGCGACACACGACAGTCCAGATAGCACAGTTATATCCATAACATATTCTACGAATATTTGAGGTAAGAAACGAATAATCATAAAATATGTACAAATATTCTAGGAATAATCATAAAATATGTATGGATATTCAATAAATAATCGTAGAATATATGGATATTCTGGGAGTAATCGTAGAATATAAATGGAAGGTATACAAATAATCATGGAATATTTAAGCGGCCCTATGCAGCCTTAGGGTGCGTCAAAAAAATTGAAAGTCTGAAATGTTCCGCTCCCTAGGCGGCAATCGATGATGTTTGGTTAAAAAACATGTTTTCCAAAATTTGGGCCAATTTCAACCATTTTAAATGGTGCCAAAGGTCAATTTTGTGATGAAATTCTGATATTTTGGTTTAGACCTGGAATTCGTACAAAAAACTCGATTTTACGCTGAAATCGTGCGTTTACGAGAAAAATGCCAAAGAACTCAAGTTGTAGAGGATGAAATTTTACTCCAGAAAGACGTCTTTTTAAAAGATAAAAATCAAATTGAA